TTTGTATGGATACGAAGCTTGGCCGATTCGAGTGGACGATATGCGTAGGCTTTCGGTCTTGGACAACGGCTGTCTGCGGATGATCGCCCGTGTGTGGTGGCAACATCGGGTGCGTAATGATAAAATCAGACAACGCGTCTTTGGCAAAACGAATCACCCGCTCCATGAGCTTGTTCTATTGCGCCAGTTGAGATGGCTTGGTCATGTCCTGCGCGTGCCTCACGAATGACTGTCACGGCGCGTCCTATTTGTGCGTACAGGGCCGTATTGGAATAAGCCGTGCGGTGGGACACCGACCACCTGGCGTCAAAGCATCAAATCGCGCACATCCTGTCTATCAATTGCTGGTCCGGTACGCCTTCCCGGTTAGGAACCAAAAGATGAAGAATAATGGCACAAAACCGGTTGCAGTGGAAACAATGCACATAAGTCTGCGTGAACTCCCGATTCCAAAACTAATAACACCATAAATGGGAAAATTTAAAAAACATGTAAAAAAGACCAAAATGGATGGTATTGATTCTTCATTCTCTTTTGATATCGCTGTACATATTCCTGTTCTTATTTAAATCTCCATGGCTTTGAATAGTTCAATGTCTATCTTAAAGACTGCTAATATATATATATATATATATATATATATATATATATATATATATACGATTGTTAACATCGTATCGTGAGCTGCCGGCCGATACCGAGGAAGGAAAGGTAACCGTAGCTGGACTTAACAAAATTAGGCTGAAGACACATACAACGAGGCTTGTGCGAGATACGATCATCGGATGAACGCCAGTAAAGGGAGAACAGGAAAGGACGGATAGTTGGTAATGCTCCAACTGTCAGTTGTAACACAAGTCGGCAGTAATCGGATGTTTAACCACAAAACTGTGCCGTCAATTAGCAGTTCTATCATCTTGATAGAGCGAAGACATGTATTTGCTTAACTTCCCATAACTGTCAAAGTTTATAAATTAACCCGCTTCTATGTGTAGAAGTGTATGCTGGTGAACATGACGTAGTTAGCTTGGGCCAAATGCAAATTCAACGACTGGCTTTGATCGATGCACGGACCGCGATCGGCAGCCATATCGATGATTTTCTTTGATCTCCCACACAGTTTATACAATGCCTGTAACTCTTCCGGTATTGCTTGGATGTCCTGTATAGTGTATAGAAACCTGAGTGGCAAAGATTGCAGTCTTCAGTTCCTCTGACTAAAGGCCAAGTCGAGTGAGATCATCTAAGAAGTAGGGATTGAGGATTTGAAATTCTCCGCTGAGAACACGACGAGAGTAAACGTTGCTTGTGAATGGCTCGATAGATTCGTTGTTGCCGAGGATCTGAGCCGTAGACGCGATCGGCATAGGTGCAAGAAGCAAGCTGATTTGAACGCCATACTTCAATATATATTTTTCCTGCCTTTACGTAAAGTAAGACTGACGGGAAAGGCTTTTGAGGCTTTCAGCTGTAGGACTGATTATACGTTTTCATACTATTCGTTATATTTAACCGGTGTGGTATGTTTATTGACTTATTTTCCTTTCGTCTAATAGACTGAGTGGAATTAACATTTGCACTATTCCTCTGTATGTCCGACGTGCAACCTGCATCCCCAACGGCGGAGACCAAATATGGAGGCGCCGAAGGTTCGGATGCGATGTATGTAAAACTGGTGTCCTCTGATGACCACGAATTTTGTGCGTCAAGAGTATGCCCTTACCAGCGGAACTATCAAAGTAATGCTTTCCGGACCAGATAGATTCCGTAACGCATTCACGACTCCATTTCCCTACCTCTTGGAGGATTTAGCTCATTGCATCTGAAGATGTGTGTCTTACCTACACGGACTGTTATCAACTAACTGGCTACTTGCAAATGAATGTTTCCCATTATTTGCTTGTTGCTGTTAATCATTTGTCACCTCAAGTGGTCTTTCAGGTCCGAAATGCGATGGCCATTTGTACAGCCACATGCTGAGGCTGATGTAGCATTCATGATGTTTTTTTCACCGCAGTTGGACTAAACCAACTATCACTAGAACTAGGTCTTTTTAAGCTGGATAAATTTCATTCCACTGTATTTGGTTTGTTCTGCCTACCTGAATAATCTACTAACTGGCCCCGTTGTTTACGCTAATTGTGCTTATTTTGGTTAACTTTATCGCATTGGCAGCACTTATTGAATAACCTGGGGACATTCTGTACTTATTGGGATTAGTTGCTAACCAACTTACTTCAGATGCTTGATATCCCCGGTGTGGCTGCACTTGATGTGCATGTTGACAAGGTGCCTACCTGTCTGTTACCCACCACCTTGTTCATACTGGCTCCAGGTGACAGTTGGTCATTGTTGGAGGGGACGGGGTGCACGGTCCTTGTGGCCGTGCTAGGCTCAAAGAGTGGTTCCATGCACTCAGTGTGGAGCGGACCACAGTCCGACCACCGCCTTGTGTGCGCTTGATTCCCAAATACAGCGTGCTTATGTTTGCCTGTGAAGGAGTGTGGGCCGGCTCCGTTGATGAAACGTGGCTCCTATCCAAATGCCTCCCGGTCTTATTCCTTTGGGTTTACACTGGATATGAGGTGTGTGGTTGGAGCTGTGGGTGGTGCAGCGCAAGCCACCCGTGGTCCCTCTGTAGACGCAGGCGTCCTGTGGCTTGCCACAGTGACAGGCAAATCCGAAACCGGATGCTACCAACTATATATATATATATATATATATATATATATATATATATATATATATATATATATGGTCACGGAATTTGACAGATTTGCACCATGTTGACCGAGGCTGTGCAGCCTGAGGCGGGTGATGTTCAGGCATTGAATAACGGTGGCGCTCTATCATCGCCAGAGATTATGTGGAATTTCCGCTCTACACCAATCGAGCTGATGTAATAACCCGAAGAAAAGTGTCATTCACTTACTTCTATTTTCCGAAGAGTTTGCCTGATCCCGAAGCAATGAATTATTTAGTATGAGTTGTCCCAAAGAGGCTTGGGAGGTGCCTCCCAACATAGCCCAACGAGCCACGGAAGTACGCAAAGCACCACACCCCGCCGTTAGGGTGCGCTTGCGGATGATATATGGCAGAAGCATCATGTCAGATAGTGAATTAAGTTTGCCTTTTGACTGGAGTCAGTATGAAATATTTGCTGAGTGAAAGGATTGCAAGGTCAAGTGATGACTTGGTCGAGGGAAATGAAAATCCTCACTTTGAACTTGGCGTCGGTTGGTGCATACCGGCTGTCTGGCTGGGGTCCCAAAAATGATGAAAACATTTAGTTGGACACACTTGCTGACATGGCGAAGAGCCGGCCCAATGGCGTTCGCGTCGTGAGTTTCTTTGTGCATCCCCCTCCCCTTTAGATTCCCCCTTTAGTTACGAGCTCATACGAAATGCATAATAGGGTAGATTACATTATATTACCTGCTTTTTGGATTCTTATGGTGTAATGTTTTAGTATCGTAGTTTTTGTATTGCGGCATGTTAGTTGTGATTTTTCTCATACTCAGTTAACGTGTACTGATGATGATGAATGGATTGTGACGCGCAATCGCAAGCGTTGTCCGGTAGCCAAAGTAGTAGAGATTTCGGCTAAAGTCTCAATGGTCCAGGGTTTCATGCCTGCCACCACTACCTGATGAGAACAAATGAGTTCGAAACCGAAGGTGGAGTACAGTGATTTCGGGAGGGCGTGCAACACGCAATATTTACCAGCTTCATTACTCTGATTTTATTCCGAAGCAAAATGTGCGATGCCGACATCCCCGGCGAGTTTGAATGAGTCAGTAAATGAGGATAGCACAGCGGGCACTGTAGAGCGCTCTTCAAGCAGCTTCGTCCAACGATCCAATCGGTGAGTCTGAGAATAGAGCAAATGTCCATCATTTAAGGATAATTTCATCAATCGAGAGCTTCTGTGGATACGTGTGTTGCTGCTGAGTTGGGAGAGTACGCCACTGTTCCTGATGTGGACGGCTTCCGTTGATCACTAATACTATTGCCTAATTCGAAATATCCTAGTTAATCGTCGTTTCAAAGGTGCGGGCACACAGTAACATGAGGCCCATTGAGCTATACTTGCGCAATTCAACCGAGCTAATCGACGTGTCAAAAAGTATACAAGGATTGAATGCTTAAGGTTGGACAAATAGGCGGTTTAGAAAACATTAGTTATAGTGTACTGGAGATGATTCCAAGCGGTATTCGGCTCATACACCGTGTTTATTGATTCAGGTAAACAAGCATGATTAGGGAAAAGAAGTGGCATGGTGGGTTCAGTTGCCACAACTCGTTTTGCTAGAATAACAATAAATAACAATAGCGATGAAATGTGGAATGTAAACACGATACAATGGAAAACGTCGAGAAATAATTGAGTAAAACCCAATGGGGATGATAAACTAACGGATCAGTTCATTACTGGTCGTTATCATAGGCGTGGAGTCACTGCCACACGGCTACATTCATAAATTGGTGGAGAGTGAGACTGTTCCGAAACAGTTGCGTCATCTGTTGATATGCTTCTCGCTCATGTTTCTTCGGTTTTAGACAAAAATGAGGTAGGTAGTAGTGGTTCACATTGGGATATTTAATGCAAAAGAGCTCATTGATAAGCCTTGATATGTCAACAATTAATTACCGGGACTGAGAACTAGGAACAATTTGTTGCACCGTACTCATGACAGTTTTGCGACAACGCATAGGGTCCTGCATAGTAGTTGGCTTGAGAGTAGGAGGATTGCTTGTTTTTGAAAAGGTTCGTTATAGCCGGTCACTCGGACAGTCAGTCGCTGATCTTCATTCCGTCGATTTATAGTACGTCAGTTTAAACTAGAGCTCTCGCATAACCCTTACGTGGCAGATTAATGTACGCATACAGGGGTATCGTAAACAGTAGCAAAATGATAGTGGAACAACTTAGTTTAAAGATGGTTGTGAAGTACTTAAAAGTTCAAAAGAATGGGTTATAAGTCTAATGAAAAACTTACGACACGTTTGGGCATTCGTCACATACATCAACCTGATGCATCTGAAATTGTCCAGGCCCAAGCACTGTTGTGCGCATTTCTCTTCGACAGCGACATTTTCGTGTTCCCCTTGCAGTTTTGGTCTCTAATTTTACGCGTTTGATCTCCACGAATTCTCCGACATACAACTCTTCTAGTGTCGCCCAGAGGTCCAAAACAATATCGTCGCCGCGGGGTGCATCGCTCGAGCTCCTACCACCACCGAAATCAAAACCGAAACCAAAAAAGCTGGCGAATGAATCATGGGGATGTTGACCAGCCTCTTGCTGCTTTAAGCCCTTGATTCCATATTTGTCATATGTTGCTCGCTTTTCCGGATCACGTAAAACCTGCCGAAACAATCGAAAATTCGAGGTAAACGAAGAATAGCGAAAGGACGGAGACATGCATACTGGATAGCATCAAGATGAAATATCTAACACCTCCATTACCACGAGACCTGAACATAGCATGATGTGACGGTTGCGTGCCTCAATCTGTCAGATTGTGCCGAGTTGCACCCATATCAAACGTAGCTTGCTGGTCCGACAGATTGGTGAAATAGGGTAAAACAGGGCGGCATTCGCTTCAGTAAAAACGAACTATCTCGCGAACCGTTGCTGCATTTCAGATGTGTGAAGAGATAAAAAAAGGCATCAGCAGTACGTCGGTACATAGTACCGACGCCTCGCTGCCGCGCAACCACCATCGGTTGCAATTTGAGTTAAGGATACTGCGAGGGTGGCCCTGCCTATACGCAGGCTCGAACTCGCGCCGCAAGATTACGAGACAATCTCGTTACTACTAGGTTACGGGCCAGCCAGATACTGAGCAAGAGATTAGAGATGAGAACCCTAACCTTTCCATGGACTAGGCTTGGGTGCCGCGGAAATAACCCAGTTAACATAAAAGCATGAGCAGTTTATACGACTACAGTTGCAGCCTGCATCGTGTCGCCGAAAGAGAACACGTTGCCAACTGTATATAGCAGGGCGTAAAAGTAGAGACAGGTTACTATTTATGCCTCCGTACCAATTTGCCGATCAAGCTCCCTAACCCACTTTTACCTCATTATTAATCTGACCACAATGTCGAAAGTGACGGCCGTTACAGCAGTAGCGGAGTTATACGATCTGCATTTATGCCACAATAGTGGCCAATGGTCTATTATCCAAAAGCATTATCGAACCAGAAGTCCCAACTTCCTTGGTTGCGTTTAACACATGTAATCTAAAAGGACTAGGTTAACAGGCTTCATTTGCAAGCATGCGCTACGTCATAGGAGCTGAAATCCTCGACTCTAAGGCAACTGTCAAACGTACTGCAACTAGCTTACCTTACATTATTGGTTGCTAGCATCCGATAGCCGCGCAAAAACCATAGGCCACAGACAGACTGAATACTGAGAAAATGCAGCGAGCTGATATACCGCTGTGTAGCTACATGTGATATTTTTCGAGCAAATCTACCTATTATTATGGTGATTATTCTCGAAATCCCAAGTCGGCAAAGCGAGTCCCGGAGTTTCTTAAACTCTGACATCGACTTTGCTTCGACTATGTATGCAGGCAGGTTGTTTCAAATATTCACCACGCTCCGGTCGAAGCAGAGTTTGTGAGCGACCCGCTTCCAATCCGGTACCACAAGCTTGTACCGGTGTCCTCGTGTGTTGCTTGGTGTTCGCAGAAGAAGCAGCGGCCTAAACATGGGGCAATCACGTAGATTTAATATCCGATGCGTCATGATGAGGTCAACCTGCATTCGACGATAAGACAGGGTGTACAACCCTAGTCTCTAGTCTCGTAAACCGGGGATGAACTTTGTGGCAACATGTTGTACTCGCTTAATACGTTGCACCAAGCCCCGGGATGAGCGGACAGTAGGCGGGTGAGCTGTACTCTAGTATTGGTCTGATGATTGAAGAAGAGACGAATGGCAACCTCTTCGCACCAAGTACAGAAGCTGCGTCTGAGTGCCCAGAGCATGAGCAGTCCGTTTTGGTAAAGCCTGCGCGTGTTTTCAACTGGTTTCCAATCGCAGCGAGAGTAGACCGAGATCTTTCACGAATGGCGATGGGTGCAACGGTTGGCCGGCCAGATTGTAGACTCGACCATTACCACCCTTGCCCAGGTTCATGAATACTTACTTGACGGAGTTGATCGAAAGGTTGACCTTTGCTGACCACATGGAGAGGCGGTCAAGGTCACGCCGAAGCAGTTCGCAGTCGTCGGGCGCCTAAATTATCCTCCATACCTTAATGTCTTCCGCAAACAACGCGCAAGGTGAACTGAGAAGCTGAGGCAAATCGTTGGTGTGGATCAGGAACAAAAAGGGCCCAAGGACTGTGCCCTGCGGGACGCCACTGGTCGAGGAATACCACTCGGTCAAGTGGTTGTCCACCTGAATTTCCTAAAACAGCCCATCCGTTTCATAACGTCAACTAGGGATAGCACTAGATGCTATTAGTTCTGGTAGCTACCTATGATCCGACAGACTGCAGTCCGGACACTACCAACTAGGCCATCAACCATGAACCACGATGTGAATGCGCAAGGTCGACCGAGGACCACAAAAGCTTTACTAAGCGACATGTTCAGTCCTGATTTCGAGCACACAGATAATAGTTGTTTACCACAGTTGTGGGCCGGAAACTCAATGTCTACAGGCACCGCGGTTTACCAGTAAGATGGATGTCGACGACGCAATTAGCGCTGAAGAGAAAATGAACAGTGATGAGTCCAAATAGAACACATCGTTCCAGAATTTAAACTGTGGTCACATATTCATTATGATACACCCAAGCTGCATGTGAAAAACACCTCAGCTATGTTGTTACAATACAAAAGAAAAAAGTGAAACAGAGGCACGCAGGCTGAGTCACCAGTAACGGATGAACATCGTTCCGGAGAGCTAACAGTCGGCTATTGTGCGGCAAAGTCATATAATGTCTGTCAACTGAGATGGTGGTTGGAGGGGGAGACTAAGCGAAGGGAGAGGAAAAAGGAACTCACAACACAAACGCCATTGTGGTTTGCTCCCAGCCATGTCAACAAGTGCATCCAACCAAGAGTTCATCATCTTTCGGACCCCAACCAAGGAGCCGAGGCTCCAACCGAGGCAAAATTCGAATAAGGGTCTTCAATCCTCTTGACCAAGTCATCGATTGTCCTCCTCTTCCAACCGCACCCCCGGCGCGTAAACAACGCACGTCGCGGGAGCCGGCGGGCTGGAATGCACAACACGTGGCCAAGCCATCGGAGCTTGGTGCGTGAAATACCGGTGTCGAGCGGTTCGCTTCTTCTTCCTGCGTCATAAACAAGGCGTCGAACACGCTCATTGCTTAGACAGTGTTCCCACAAATATGAGCCAAACTGCGAAGGATCCGGTTCTCGAACGAAACCACTTTACGTCTGCTGCTCTAAGGCACCAAGTTGCACAACCGTACAGTAGGACCGAAAGTACGGCTGAATTGTAAACTATACACTTCAGGGAGAGAGCGATGTCGTGCCGGCGCCATAAGTGCCGAAGGTAAGCAAAAGCGCCTCGAGATTTTGCTATACGGTTTGTGCTATCGTCTTCAATTCCAAGGGCGCTGATACAACTACCTGGGTAGTTGGACTTTTGGACGACTTCTAGCTGGTTCCCACCAAGGGTTACGCGCAGGAGGCGGTCCCTGCCAATCTTGGAGGAAAGCTTTGAACTTCGAGGGGGTAAAGCAAAGCCCGAAGCGGCTGACAGCCAGTGCCAATCTGTCCAGCGTGGCTTGACACGTCTGGGAGCTGTCGCAGATGAGGGCAATGTCGTCCGCATACTCCAAGTCAAGAAGTCGTTCTCCTGGGAGTAGCTCCACACCTTCTAAGTCATGTCCTGTAAATGCAATCTCCATGACTTTGTCAATAGCGAAGTTGAATAGGAAAGGTTACGAATGCATCCTTGTCTCACACCGCTGGAGATATTGAAGGCTGGCGACAGCTTGCCGTAAGCTCTCACTCTGCCCGTGCTACGCGCGTATAGTGCTTGGATAATATTTACATATTTCTCGGGCACACCTTTCCTGAGTAGACAATTCCAAAGGGCACATCGATCAACCGAATCGAAGGCACCTTTGATGTCGAGGAACACGACAACGGTGGGCCGCCGATATGTGTGACGGTGCTCCAACAACTGACGCAAGGTGAAGATGTGGTCGATGCAGCCACGACCTCGACGAAACCCGGCTTGCTCCTCCCGAATCTAGCTTTCAGGAGCGCCAGTCAGTCTGTGAAGAATTATGGAGGCGAGTAATTTGGAGGCGATGGAGATCAGACTGATTCCTCTATGGTTGCCGCATTCCGAGCGCGAGCCGCCTTTGAAGATGGGAACAATAACGGAGCGGCTCCGGTCGGTTGGGACAGTTCCCTGCTCCCACAGTTTCACTAGTAATTCATGTAAATCATCAACAAGAGTAGAGCTTCCGAATTTGAAGAGGGCTGGATGAAGATCATCTGTTCCCGCGGCTTTGTTCAACTTCAACAGTCTGATCTCACGTTTGACTTCAGAGCGAGAGGGTAGATCCAAAGAGAGCCCACGGAGCAGGGCGATTACTGGCCGGCGAAGAATCGAACAATTCTAGCCGATTAAATTGCTTTTCAAAATGCTCAGCCCAACGCTCCAAACGCTTTGACAAATTGTGGATAGGCCGTCCACTCTCGTCACAAATTGTTTCACTAACACCAGGTCTCCTGCTGCCCGTTTCCCGTATCAGACGGAATAACTTAAGATGGTTGCCAAGGGCAGCGGCCACTTCCATCTCTGACGCACGAAGTGACCACCAAGATTCGCGGTCTCACTTCAGGCTAGCACGGAGTCTTGCCCGGAGTACGTTGCAAGTTTCATTGTGTTCGCTTCCAGCCGGGATATGCCGGCGGGCATCGATAAGTTCCAGAGACCGCGAAGAGACCCAATGTCCATGTTGGCTATTAGACTTACCACATGAGGATTTGCCTGCTGTTAGTAAGGTCTGGTGAACATGTGACCAGTGACCTACAATTGTCTCCAGTGAGCGCTTACTCAACTCGCATATCAGCGTACTTTGATAGGCATTCAGAACAGCTGGCTTTGTCAGTTGGCTGGTGTCAATGCACTCACAGCGTCGTCGTGGGCGTCCACCAAAACGCATCCGCATGTCAGCACATACAAGTGCATGATTGGTGTCCACACATGTGCTCCAAATCGAGTGACAGTTCTGGATGCAGCCTCTCCAGCGGTAACTGATTGCAATGTGATCGATTTGCGTCCAAGGCTGGTGGGCGCCAAGTCACCCTCCGGCGGGTGCTGTGTCGGAAGGTAGTGTTCGCAAGAAATAGGCGAG